AAATTGACATTCAACTTCAGCAAGCGGTCCACATATCTTTGCATCTTCTGCAAGTGGGTCGTGATGCACTCTCCATCCTTCATTTTGGTTGTTATCGTGGAGGAAATGATTTCATACCTTTCTTGACGAGCACTCTAATTGTACCTTTCCATCAATTCTTGGTGCATCTCGAAAGGCCAGAAGTCCTCATAGGACTTCTGAAGCTCAGAATTCATAGTAGCTAGCATGATGCACGGTACCTTTGTCGCGTCCTTCTCATGAGCCCTATACTCAGCCAGTTGCTCAGGAGTAGCGTGATGAGCACTCTAATTGTACCTTTGTCACGTCCTTCTCATGAGCCCTATTCGAGATGCGATGAACGTGTGTTTGGGAGTGATAGTGGTGTTGCAACATGTCTGAAACTTACCAACTAGGAATGTTAGAGCCAAACATAAAGTTTAAAATACTATAGGAGTATTTTGGAACACTAAAAGACTCACACTAATCCCAGAATCATAATCAGAAGATAAGAAACAAACAAGAATTAAAATACCATAGGGGTATTTTAGGATCCATAGATAACCTTGTGTGAAGAACTAAAAAGATCCTTATTGATATACCTACAATTACAGAGAGTATACTCCCAAGGTTATATATAATAAGGATCCCATAGGCTAAGAATGCGTGGTTCCGCTCTACTTCCTTTTCCTTGTTTGGATGTGAATACCGAGTAGTATCACATATTAGAAGGCCTATCGGATCTAAGCTATATATGATTTGTAGACCCTGTGTAATCATAGCAGGACTCAATATGGATCACCCAGTGAAATGTTAATAATCTCTTAGGATTCTTTAGACATTTCCATTCTCGCACGAACCCTGTAGAAAACCCTATCCACTTCAGTACTCATCAGAAGAGTTGATTTTGACCTAGAAGAGGTTCATTGAGAAGATTTCCTGTTCAGAAATAAATGAACTGGGTCGAGACTATTGAATTCACTAAGTGCCTATATCTTTTTAGGGACACCGGTGAAGAAATTCACCTAAGATTCCGAGATCCCCAGTCGTCTATCATGAAGTGGTGACACCCGGAGTCGGATTCGGAAGTAAGGTAGAGTAGAAATTCAATAAGTCCATACAAGGAGAGAACCCTAGGTAACTACCCTAAGGAAACCAATGCTGGTCCTAGTAAAGAATACGAGGTAGACAGAGGGAACCAGTACATGGAACCCGAGAAGTGTCTTTTTCCTCGTGTTAGTCACGCTAATACACCCATAAAATAATACAATTTAGTGAGTTAGTGGTTACACTACTCACGCTATGTGTTAGGAAAGTCGTCTTTTCTCGTTGCCAGTAATACGCTTAGAGCGGATCCCCACATCTCTGTTGAAGTTGTTTAGCCATAAGTCTTCATAAGCCTCTCTTTCCGCGGTTTCGTTCCGAACTGTTCTCAAATCTTTCCAGACCAGAGAGTCAAACCTTTCCCAGTATAAAGGTAGCTTAGCAGGAATGACTCCCACCTTATGGCCTTTTTCTGATACTCATACTCCTACCTTGAATACAAGGACTACATCATAGGGATGTAGGTTGACACTCAGACAACCAACATCCGAGGCACGGGAAAAATTTACGCCTAATACAGTCAGGACAGATATGTCCAGGGTTAGCCATCGTCTCTCATTATCTTGTATTCCTTTCCGTGTAGGAAAACCATGCCTCCGAAGATGTGTAACCAGTCCGCAAGCAAGAAACCTACTCTCTTATTCGATGAAGCTACGTTCCAAGCTGCAGTCTCGACAGCCGTAGCAGCTGTCATGGCTCACCTGAATGCTAACAACGCCAATGTTAACAAGGGCCCTATCGGGATTTTCGATCCTAGCAATGGACAGCAGCAACCAACCTCTGCATACCCAGCCACCCAAGAACCTCACTCAAATCCACTGAAGATAAAGATCAAAATCGAGGAGGGAAATACCTCGGCTCAAAGGGTAACGAGCTGAGACACTCAATATCCCTGCCAACTCTTCCATCCCTACTTCAAGAAGACCATACCTAGGAAACCTTCCCCACTGCAGCAAGTGTAGCTACCATCATCATGGTATATGTCGGGAACTCTATTGTGCTAGGTGCCACATGTTGGGGCATACTGCTCGCGTCTGCAGAACCCCGATTGAGTTCATTACATCAACCACCAATTTGGCGGCCAATCCAGTTTGCCGTCTATGTGGTGAGATTGGACACTTCAAGAAGGACTGCCCAACAGAAGGAAACAACAAAGGCACAGGAGGAGCCTAACTCTACTGCTTAGGGAGAAGCATCAAGGAACCCGGTGGATTTTAGTGTTAGATTTTATAAAACATTATTTAATACAGTATCTTATATATGAAAAAAAAAAAATCATAATATACTCTTATATTTTTTGTGTCAGATTTTATAAAACATTATCTAATACAGTATCTTCAATTTCTTAAAAAAAATATTTATGACACGTTTTTAATTGATTTAATTGAAAAAAAAAATAGAAGTTTATTTCCATCCATTTATGTATCAAATTCTTTGATTCCTAATTAAAATGTTTAGGTATAATTTTGCAACCAAAATTGTTGATTTTTATCAGATATTTACATTAATTTGTTCCATTTTTATTTTCATTTTTATACAATAATACATAAAAGTTGATCCAGATTTGTTAATTATTTATAACAAAGTCATAAAAATATTAAAATTTCACTTTGTAGTTTAAAAAATCAATTTATTTATATTTTAGTTTATTTTAGTAGCATGCAGACGTTAAAAAAACATACAGTTTTCTTTTTTCAGAATGCAGACGCTTGGTCCACATCTTCTGCTGCAGAGGTCTACAGATGTGGTCCGCAGACTGCAGACATTTTACCTCAGAAAAAACAAACAACACCTAAGTGTTATTGTGGTAATGATAGCTCGGGAGTCGTCGGAGCAGCCGTTAGAGAACCCTTACCGTGAGATTCTACATTTAGCTTTGCGAGGTAAGTTTCCTCCTATAGGAACGGGTCGACGACACCAATGCTGGCCCGTATGTATGATTATATGTTCTAGATTTTGATCCGATGTCGAGTGGTGCCCAATGAATGTTTATATGCTTTTCGGACTACGGTCCGATACCGGACGATGCTCGGGGAATGTTTGTATGCTTGATGTCTTTGTGATTCTTGCATGTGTCTGTATTTGTATGTTTCTGGATGACGGTCCGATGTCGGGTAATGCCCGAGGAATGTTAGTATGCTTCTAGATTTCGGTCCGATGCTGAGGGTGGCCCGAGGAATGTTTATATGTTTATGTTATGTGAATATTTTATGTGTATTTGTTGATATGCTATTATGTATACCGAGATTTGCTCGATGTCGGGTAGGGCCCGATGCCGAACATTATCCGATACCGGGTGGGGCGGGGCTCACGTTATGTTTATATGTGAGTATGTGCTTATGTGTATGATATATGGTAGTTTGGGGAAATTCACTAAGCTTCATGCTTACAATTTTCAGTTTTGGTTTCAAGTACTTCTGGTAGCAAATGGAAGAGCCCGGGATGAATGTAGTGCACACACCGTTATGTTTAGCCTGAGATGATTACTCTGATGTTTTGATTTGGAAACTCTGATAATAATGTTTTTTAGATTGTTTGACTTATGTTTCGATGAAGTGTTTTGATAACTATGGTTTTATTTAATGATTTAAAACAAAATTTTTGGTCATTATTTTTGGGATGTTTCACTTAGCCTTGGTCCCAGTTAGATAAAGGGGTAAAATGGTCTTTTACCATAGCTTGGTCTCTTAGGTATGGGTCCGAATCCAATTATTAATTGGATGTGTTTTATGATGACATCGCAAGAATTTGTTTCTCGTAGAGAGTTATCTGAGTGATTCAACAGTTAGAGGTGAGTTTCCTCACTGGGTTTAGCAAGTTAAAGGTACCAATATCGGCTCATGGTTTAGTATGTTAGGATGTTAGATGTCTATGTGACTCTTGCATGTGTTATGTGTTGGTATGCTTACCAGGAAAGGCCCGATGATAGTATTGTGTGCTATTGTCTTTGTGATTATCGCATGTGTTTGTATGATTACATGTATATATGTTTATATATACTGGGATGGGCTCGATGCCAGGCGGGGCCTAATGGCTAACATATTTGTATACCGAGTGGGGTTCGATGTCGGGCTGGGCCCGGTTCCGGGCGGGACCCAATGTGGGGCGGGGTCCAGTATGTGTTTATTATGTATGGTATGTGGTAGTTTGGGGAACTTATGGGGATCTCACTAAGCTTTGTCCTTACGGTTTTCAGTTTATGTTTTAGGTACTTCTGGTTCGAAAGAGAAGAACCCGAGATGATTACAGAGCACACACCACATTATTCTGTATTTTGTGATTTACTCTGATATTCTATGATGTATTGATACACTTTGATCCATATTGGTTTTATGATAATGTTTTGGATTACCGTTTTATCAATTTAAAAATGAAAATTTTTGGATCTTTATTTTTGGGACGTTACATAAGTAACCAAAATAATTTCTTAAATCCCCCACCAATATATTGGCATAAATATTCCTTATACGCTACCTGTGCTCCGCGCGTGGAATGACCTCCTTTACTGCCTCAATTGATCCTTTATGTTGATTCAACATAATATACACCCCTATTGTAGGGATGAATCACCCTCCTCCCCCCCCCCCCCCCTTTAAAAAACAAAAACAACTATGAAGTACAATAGCCCGTCTTCAATTTCCCTCTATTCCATCCATCTTAAAATAATTTGAAGCATATGTAAAATCTTTACTGTGGTCCAACATTGTTACTTCTTTTTTTAAGCTCTACGAGAAACAAATTATCCGTTTTAACACCTTACAAAAAACAATAGGTAAGGGTGATTTAACATTTTTTCTAGAAAAATGTTTGGGTGGGAGATAAGAATATACAACAAGCGTTTCCTAAACTGAAGGCTTTGGATATTGATATTGATTGCCTTATTGTCGAATGACGCGAGCATGAAGCTTGGAAGTGGAGATGACGACATGATCTTAGAGGCGGAACCGAGCTTTCGCAATGCTCGGGTATGTATCAAATTCTTAGTCACGTTACTATTTCTAATGATCGTGACAGGTGGCTTTGGAATAATGCAAGAGTGGAGTTTTTGGTGAAATATACTCTTATGTTTATTAATGATTATAGCTTTCTGATCGACACGATGCAAACTAGATGGAACAAATTCATCCCGATTAAAATTAGTATTTTTAATCGGATAGTGTTTCTGGATAGTCTTCCTACTAGACAAAATATATATAACAGGGGGATCGACATTGATGCTACCATTTGCCTTTCCTGTGGGAACTATGTTGAAACAGTTAATCATATGCTTTTACATTGCCATGTTGCTAAATATGTCTTTATAAAAATCGGCCAATGATGGGATGTGAATGTTTCTTGTATTCCTTTCGTCGGAGATTATCCAACTTTCTTGGATGCAACCCATCGGTCCATGTCTAAGAAACAAGTTCTCGATGACATGATTTCTACGACTTGGTGGGTGCTATGGAATTTTAGGAACAAATGTGTTTTTGTCAACTTGAGACTATGCTTGAAAAAGATTTTTGATGATATTGTGTCAGAATTTTTTTTTTTCTGGTTTCAAATAGGAAGCATAAATTTCATATTAACTGGAATCAATGGCTTCATAACCCTATTATGAACATTTGGATGTAACTGTTTTTGTTTTGTACTAGCTCCTAGTTAGTGTCTTTTTATCAAATTCAGTCGTTAAAAAAAATCTTAAAGTACTTTGAAGCATATGTAAATTCTATGTAAAAGACATGATACTTACAAGTCGATTATCATTTTTAGTTTGAGTAAATAGGAATGTAGTTTCTTTTATAACTTTATAATATATTTTTTTTTGTTAAATGTAATAAAAATTAAACAAAAAATTATTGATATGTTTGTAATAACAACATATTTTTATTTTGTATTACAAAAGAAAATGAAAAGATAAAATGAAAGACGTCCACCCCTCTCAAGATCCGTCACTACTCACTATATATATGGTTAGATGTGAAGACAAATTCCATAAACTGAACTTATGGCAACACAGCTCTTACTACTTGGCTTGCTCATAAAATTTCTCATATTCACTCGTATCTCTCTTTCTCTGTCGTAATTAATTCTTTTTATATTTTTTATTTATTTTTTAACCATAAGACCAATGTTATTTATGATTATAAGTCATGTAATACGGTTGGGAGGGAGAGAAGTTTTATCAATCTACAAATAAATAAAATATATTCAAAAAATATAAAAGTAATTTAAAATGGTAGAAAGTCATTGTATATGCAATAAGGACCAACTATAGCAAAAGTAAAATCACAAGGACCAATCGTATAGACAATTTGATAGTTGTACTCAAACAACCTGTTTTAGCAAACCATAGGGGCCAACCGTGTAATTTTTATCTATTTAAAAATACAACAACGAAAGTGTTAGTTTTAATGTCTGAGGACCCCGGTGTAACAAATAGGGGTGTGTGTGGTGCGGTTTATAGGTAAAACCACAAATCGTACCGTATATGTGGTTTAAGAATTTTAGAAACCGCAAACCGTACCACGGAAACCTTGAATCGTGTTGTGAGGTGTGGTTTAGTGCAGGCGGTTTGTGCGGTTTAAATACGGTTTGAACAGTTGAGTCTTACTAGGTTCAGGTTTTTTTATGTCACTCATCAACAGTGTGAGCATTATGACCAAACCGGACCGGATCAGACCGGTTTTGACATAACTTGGTGGACCTTAGACTGAAATTATTGAGTCTTACTAGGTTCAGGTTTTTTTTGGTTCTTGTACTCGTTAGACTGGTACAACTTTAGGTATATACAATATAACTCGTTGAAGTCCTACCAAAAATTAGTATATCTATAATAACGGTAGGGTGGGCATCTGGACTGAAACGAACCGGACCGACTCTTAGATCGAACCGGTTTGACAAAAATTAGTGGATTTTGGACTGGACCTGTTGAAGCTTTCCGAGTCTAGGTCCATGTCCGGTTCGATCCCCTAATCAACATACACAACTTGATAATTTGAGTTTTTATTAGATTATAAGAAATCCGATCTGGCGAACATTTCATTATTATTTTTTATTTATAATCAATTTTATTATTTTTAAAATTATAGAGAATAGAAACAAATTACGATCTCTTAAGATACACAAGGATTTTTTTTAAATTTATATAAAATATAAAAAATACATAGAAACATGTCGATATTGATGTGTATATGTACAGTTTTATTTTATAAGAGAAACTTATAGTAAATAAATACGACTGTTGTTGAAAAATATCACAAAAATACATTACCAAGTGATTCATATAATGAGTCAAAAAGAAAATATATAATCCAGACTTACGGTTATTTGTTAGTTTTGATTTTTATAAACATCAACACATTAAATAATTTTTAAAAACATTAGTTTTTCTTTCTTGTTCTAAAATTAATATTTATGGATTCTAAACGTTTTTATGCATAAAATTATGGTTTTTTTTTTTTTTTTTAATTCTAATCGTCCAAAGAATATCCAAATAAAAATTTGAATTCTAAGGTCACTACCCCGGATGATATATGATCGCTTGACATGTATAATCGCATCGTTTACTCGTTTAGGGGTGTTTTTTTTACGAGAATGAATTCTATGGTTTAATTCTGTTAGATATCATATAATTTAATTCGTTTTTATCGTTAGTATCTTTTTCTTCTTACACACCACTTATTCATTTATATATGAAAAAAAATGAAAACATCTTATATCATTTTAATGATTTGTTTTTATAAGGATTAAAAGGAATATTTATACAATCACATGTTATTTTTTTATGCAAGGAAATAGTTGTAATAACCTTTTGATTTTTAATCGTTTTTTTTACTATTTTATTTAATAAAGTTGATCTCTTACCAGTTTACACATGTATACGGGTTTTTACTTTTTATCATCTGATTGTTTTTTGGGATAATAACCTGAAAGGCTAATGGATTTTCGATTTTATTCATATTTTATCACTGAATTTTTTTTTCATTGTCTATTTATCACTGAACTATTGAAAATGTTCACATTTTACCCTTAGACTGGTAACAACCGATCATAAGGGTAAAATGTAAACAATTTTAATAGTTTAGTGACAAATAGATAATGAAAAAAAGTTTAGTAACTAAATGTGAACAAAGTTGAAATTTCGTTTCCCTCTAAAAAAAGTCCAATAACTAAATGTGAACAAACTTTCCTCTTGTATTAAGGTTTAGCAAATTATGTATTTTTGTTAAGTTTTAACAACATTTGTTGATGAATAAATCTATGGAAAAAAAAAACTGAAAAATGTTTTAAAAAACAAAAAAAGGAAACCAATATTATATGTATAAGTTTTATGTTAAAAAACTATGCAATATTATATGTATAAAAATTGTCCTAATATTATATGTATGAATTTGTGTTATAAAATTATGCAACATATAAATTGACATACATTAAACCATATACGTTGTTTATAAATGAATACATACATACATTGATACATTTTATATATATATATATATATATATATAATATATATATATATATATATATATATATATATATATATATAGACATACATCATATTAATATATTTACTATTAAAAAGGATATTGAAAAAGAAAGTCAAGTTGTTTACAATTTAGATATTTTAATTTACATGGACAATTGATTTATATTTGAGATTATATATATATTTTTAAAATTAAATAATTACTGAAATTTATGATTAGTTAACTAGACATATATAGTTAAGTAAAACCATTAACATGTTTTATAAAGTGTTACGTCCAAACCACCCCATCCATATTACATTTACAAAAATATTGTTTTTAGAAAGAAAATAAATACATATTCAACAATTAAAACGGTGCTATTTTTTTTTCTTTCAAAAAAATCACTAATAATTTTAAAAGGATTAAGAAAAAAAAAAACAATTCATATTTAAATAACTATTTAAAGAAATAAGGTTTTTATTTTTTTTTTCAGAACACAACGTAATTTATGACAATGAAACACAATTGCTTAATAGTTATGGGTGATAATGGTTCATTTTTTTTTTTTTTTTGTTAAACCAAAACCAGATTGAAAGTTTTGATTTTTTATTTTGGAATATACCAAACCATTGGTTTTTATTTCGGTTTCAGTTTTTCGTTTATTTTTAATATATTTTTTGGGTTTTTGTTTTTTTATTTCATAGATTTCTTTTTCAACAAATATTGTTAGAATTTAACAAAAAAAAAAGTTGCTGAAACATACAACAAAGAGGAAGTTTGTTCACATTTAGTCATTGAACTTTTTTAGAGAGAAACGAACTTTCAACTTTGTTCACATTTAGTCACTAAACTTTTTTCATTATCTGTTTGTCACTGAACTATTGAAAACCGTTCACATTTTACCCTTATGACGGGCTGTTACCGGTCATAAGGGTAAAATGTGAACAGTTTTAATAGTTCAGTGCCAAATAAATAATGAAAGAAAGTTTAGTGACTAAATGTGAACAAAGTCGAAAGTCTGTTACCTTTTCAAGTCATTATCCCTTGTTTTTACTTGATGCAAAATAGATGCAGCATCCGTCGGAATATGCTACGGCCGGCTCGGCGATGATTTGCCCTCCGAACAAGAGGTGGTAGACCTCTACCAAAGCAACGACATAACCAGAATGCGACTTTACGATCCAAATCCAAACACTCTTCAAGCCCTACAGGGAACCAACATCGAACTCTTACTTGACGTTCCAAATAGCGATCTTCAATCCCTCACAGATCCATCCGCTGCAAGAACTTTAGCTGAAAACAACATCCAAAACTACCTCGATGTTAAATTCCGGTACATCACCGTCGGAAACAAAATCGATCCAAATAATGGTAACAGTCGATTTGTCAATTTCGTACTTGAGGCGATGCGAAATGTTCACCAAGCAATTGTAGACGCTGGATTAGCTGACCAAATCAAGGTCTCGACAGCAACCTATACTGGTCTCCTATCGAATACCTATCCGCCAAGCGTTGGCGAGTTTCATGACAATGTGAAGAGCTTTATCGAGCCGATTATCAGATTTCTACGTAAAAACAATTTGTCGATGCTTGCTAACATTTACCCCTATTTTGCTTGTCGTGATAACCCTAACATTAGTCTCCCGTATTCACTGTTTACATCGGGTCCACTTGTGAACGATAATGGTTTGGTGTACTCTAACCTTTTCGACGCCATGTTAGATGCTTACAATGCAGCTCAAACACGCCTTGGTGGAGGCGATTTGAATATTGTTGTGTCGGAGAGTGGATGGGCGCCGTATGGTCATCGGGTAGCGACACCGGAAAACGTAGCAACTTATTATCAGAAGTCGGTTGAACATGTGAAAGAGGATAATGGGACACTGGCAAGGCCTGAAAACAGTATAGAAACGTGTTTGTTTGCAATGTTTAATGAGAATTCGAACGAAGGAGATGAGTATGAGAGGCATTTTGGGCTTTTCTTCCCCGATCAAGGATCCAAGTATGAACTAAGCTTCTGATTACCAAAATCCATAGTGTAATGGAATTTCGGTAATTTAAGTAATAAATAAATCATGGAATAAAAGCTTTTGTTTCCTCGATTGTACATTACCCGTATTATTGAGGAAACAACAAAACTTACTATTTTAAGCTTCGAATGGAAGTCAACTTTATGAAACATCAATGGCCTTCAATCCTATAAGAAATTACTCCTCTAAACTAATCATTGCTCTCCTGTGACATATATTATTTTTTAATACTTTAAATAGAAACCAACTATTTAAAGTATCATCACTCCATGTACACAATAACGCAAAACAATTGGATCAGTACACTTTGCACCATTGAAGTATCACTTTCCAATCACAAGTAAATGTATTTTGGTTCAACATAGATAATGTTGGAAATATTGAAATAGGGTTATGGAAATCTGGATAACAAAATAGAAATCGTGTAATCACTTTCCTTGTTTGATATTTCGACCCTATATGTCTTAGGTATCACGAAATCCAAACTTAGGATAATTCCTGATGCAGCAATTCTGATTTTAGGCACAAAATCAGAATCAATTTTAGAAGAAGATGAAGAAGGAAGCGTTTCCTGATTTTCTGTGTTCCAAAGGAGTCGTTATTTTCCCGTATTTATCAATTCAACGGAAAAATAAGAACATTTTGCATCTTTCAGAAAAACCAGATTAGTCCCCGAACCCCGACTTGATACAGTAGATTAGGGTTCGGTACTAACAATGTTTAGTAAATACAAGTGTGCACTCCCACACCTCCTAATTTGTATTATAAGTAAACATTATTCTTAAAAAAACTTGCTAAATCCATTATAATAAAATATATTTGATGATATAAAATCACAAAAGATCACACCACACCACCACACTTCATCCATATCTACTGACAAAAAAATATCAAACATGTGCATTTTCTTTAACATGCAAGGAATTAGCACCTCACGTCTATTATATTATTGCAATCCTCCATCCCAAACTTGATGTTTTTAAATAGTAATCTTCAGTCTCTCGTTGATCCATCGGCCGCAATAACTTTTTTCATATATATATATATATATATATATATATATATATATATATATATATATATATATATATATATATATGTTATTTTATGCTATAAATCGTAGATTTGTTTTTTTTTTTTTATATTTTTTTACAACTTATTCATTAAACTTTTTTATTTATATGTTTCAAGTATCTTTTTATATAAAAGTTTTAAAACGTTTTGATTTTGCTAATTTTTATAAAACTTTTTACTTAAATATTTATGAAATTATCAGAAAAATCCCAATATTTTTGGAAAAATTTCACTTCAGTCTCAAAAGTTTAATTTTTTGAATATAAAAGTCTCGATTATTTCATTTCGACTCAAATTAACAAAAAATACATTTTTTCTTTTAACAGGAAATGACATATTATCTTGTAAAATCAAAAATTAGGACTTTTCTGTTAAATAAAAAAAATGGGACTAGCGTGACACTTTTCCGAAATATTAGGACTTTTTTTTTTTTTTTGACAATTTCCCTACATTTTTTCATGTATTTAGGAAAAAAAATAATTAAACTTTCATATTAAAAAATCAAAATTATTATCAATTATTTTAAATAAATTATTACTTAAGAGACATTTTTTAGTTATATAAAATTATAATCATTGATTTAAATAAATACGTGAAGTTATATCACCTTATAATTTATATTAATTTAATTGTATTTTTAGTCTAATGTTATTAATTTAATATAATTATATTGTAAAAGTTTAAAATGGAGAATCAACTACTAATAATGGGAAATTTAAAACTAGAAATTGATAACTAATAGATTGACAAATGATATAATAAGTGATATATAATATTAATTGATTTATAACCCATGAGAACTAGGCCTGATAATTGGGTTGAGTTCGGGTTAGCGGATCACGGGTTGGCGAGTTGACGGATTGGAATTCAAAAAACTCAACCCAACCAATATAATATATGAGTTGGCGGATCACGAGTTGACGGGTTTGAAACATCAACTTAACCCAATCCACTTAACCCGTTTAACGCTACTGTTTAATAGAAAAAGAAGCGCTACCAATCAAAATTTAAAATATCATTAGTGTAAAACAGGTTTAAAATCATATTTTCAGTAAAAGAATTCAAAATGAAAATTATAAAATAGTGGGTAAAATAAGTCAAAATCAAGAATCTAGTATCACTGTATCCCTACTCGATTTAAGGAATCAATCACTACTCTGAATCATATTTCCATTTAACATAGTGGGTAAAAGATTTCCAATAATTATATTTGCTTGTTTGGTTTCTAACTTATTTTTTTAATTCGGAAGGTTCCTATGATTTGTTTTTGTTACGCGTTTGGTCCATACTGTTTATTTTTGTTAATCATTTGATCCCTGTCTTATCTAAAAAGACTATTATTTAAAGAGGAAAAAATGATGGGGTAGGTGAGGTAAGGTGATGAGGTGGGATTAGGGGTGTGTTTATTTAGATAAATTAAAAAAATCAAGGGCATAATAGTCTTTTTAGTTAAGATAGGGACCAACCGCGTAACAAAAACAAACAGTAGGGACCTTCCAAGTTAAGAAAATAAGTTAGGGACCAAACAAGCAAATTACCGTAAACCATAGGGAACATTCGTGTAATTTACTCTTATATTTTTCATTAGCGGTTTAGCCGATATGTACTCCAAATAATGCCACAATCTACATTACCCAAACATACGACTATATGGTTGATGATACGAACGAATACCAAATTAAATTTAAAGGATATGATAATTGATAAATAGAAAATAATAGTATAATATGATCTTAGATTGTTAAAAATTAAAATAAATAGCTAATTAAATATATTAGGCGGGTTAGCGGGTTGACCCGTAGACCCAAACAGGTAATTCAACCTAATCCATTAAATAAACGGGTTGGCAGGTTGGCGGGTCAGAAATCTCAACCATAACCCACTTATTTTCGTGTCGGGTTACGGGTTGGGTCGAAAGTTATTACTCCTAATGAGAACCACAGTTATAAAATCAATTAAAATTTTAAAGTAAAACTCAAAATTATTAATCAATTATTTCAAATAAATTATTAATGAAGAGATTTTTTTTGTTATTTTTAATTATAATTGTAGATTTAAATAAATAAATGAAATTATATCAATTTATAATATATATTAATTTTGTTTTATTTTTCAATCTAATGTTATTAATTTAATGTAATTAGAATGTGAAATTTAAAATTTGAAATTTGAATGAAGAATTAATTATTAATTTAATGTAATAAGAGTGAGAAATTTTAAATTTTAAATTTTGAAATAGAGAATTAATAGATTGAGATGTGGTATGATAAGTGATATATAATAGAAAAAACATCATAAATGGTCCCTGTGGTTACCCAAAATCTGAAGTTTAGTCCCCGTGGTTTAAAAACCTCATAGATGGTCGTTATGTTTTCAAAACTTTTGATATTTGGTCCTTTTTGCTAACTCCGTTAAGTTTGTTCGTTAACTGAAGGGTATTTTCGTCATTTCACAACCACAGGGACCATTTATGATGTTTTCTCATATTTTTTTAAAAAAAGAAAAAACTAAATATAATTATTTAATATATAATCTCTCTCTCTCTCTCTCCCTCTCTCTCATTTGAAAAGAAGCTAAACCATATGGACCACCATTTCTTTACTCTAAAGCTTATGTATAGTAAGAAAAAGAGAAGATCGGTGTCAAACAAGATCCATGTCTTGTTATTCACCTGACTTTCGCCATGAACCGCCTCGCATAACCCTACGTGCAATCGATCCCACCATCAGAGCCATCGCCCTAAATTTAGACCTCAACCCAGTATCATCGGAGCCACCACTGATCTGAAACACGGCTAGAACCCACTGAAAAACCCATGGATCTTCATTTCCTCTACCTGTGTCACCTTTCTCTTGTGTGTACTCTTTCTCCCCTCGATTTCCCTATACTCCATCGATTTCTCTCTACGTAGTTGTTTATCTCTACCATCACCAGCTTCATCTATTTCATTTATGAATTCCTCTTCTAGCGCTTTATGAGCTGCGATAAACACTAAGCTTTGGCTAATATCTGAACACTGACGATTGTCTCCTCCTTTCAGATACCTCTTATTGATGGAGGAAGATCCCAACCTGGTGAAATAAATTAAGCCTTAGAGTTTGTTGTTGGTTCTTGATGAAATTGATGGAGGTAGAACCAATTTCATGAGTTTTCGATGGGTGAGCTTGTATTGAAGCTCGCAAATGCAAAGCTTTTATAGGAATGTGACAATGGAGATGATACTTCCGATTTAGGTCAAATATTATAGGCAAAGCTTGAATCTAGGTTACAGTTTTAGATTTTGATTCAGGCTTACAAATTTAGGTCAAATTATGGTGATCTTGCAAGGGTTCGAAAATTGTGAGAGAGACAGCAGCAATGACGGTGGTTGGTGGTCTGAAAATTGTAGTGGCGATGGTGGTGCTTCACCACTGGTAGGTGAGTCTCTGACCGAAGGAGAAAGAGTACAAATTTTGGGTTTTTTCCCTTTGATTCTTCATCCCGAGAGAGAGAGAGAGAGAGAGAGAGAGAGAGATTATACATTAAATAATTATATTTAGAGAAATTTACAAAAATAGCCATTTACACTAATGACATTACAAAAATAGCCAAAAAAATCGAAATTACAAAAATGGCCACCCATTTCGCAGATGAGAAGGTCCCATCTACGAAATGGATTTCTCATCTGCGAAAGTACAAGTACCTAAAGCACAGTTGTGCTTTAGGTACTTGTACTTTCGCAGGTGGTTTTAATATTTTTTTTAAATTTTTTGCTGTATATATAGGGGTAATTTCGCAAATGGAATAGGTCCATCTACGAAATCCTCTGACTCTATCTGCGGAATCGTTGTTATTTTTGTATTTTTTTTTTAGGTTGACTATGAAATGGTTTGTTTTGACTACGAAATCAGGTTGCTATATAAATAGTTTTGTAGAAA